AAGAAGATGACTTAAATTTAGAATTTTAGATGGTTAAATCAAATTTGTCCCGAATTCTCGATTAAAATGTTGATTTGTGGTTGGGTTGTGTGGATCGTGGGCTTTTAAAATGAAAAATGAGCTTAATTTATGGATTATCTAGTCAAAACTCACTAATTCAAGATAAAAAAACCCAAAAGAAAATAGGCAAAAAGTCCAACTGCTAAATAAAAGGTAAAATCGAGATTTTACCTGATTTCACAGTAAAATCGAGATTTTACCTAATTTTAGATTTTAATATAGATTTTACACGAAATACCTTGCTGAAATCGTAAAATAGTAAGATTTTAAAATTTAAATCTAAATTTTGACAATACTGCTTATGACTACCCCTACTTACTATTTATTACTCACTATTTATCAAATTTTAACCATTATAGATTATACCAAATCACACACGGTGAGAAAAAATATATGTAAAAATGGGCAATTCAACTCCTGTCGCCGCAGTTCATCCTCTCTACTTTAAATCAACCTCTCTACTAATCAAAATCAACATATCGGCCCTTTCGTCTCTTTCCTCCCCTTTCCTCTCCTTTTTCTTATGCTTTCTTCCTCCATTTCCTTTTCCCTGTTCCTCTTCGTAAATTTACAGATCTAGTTTGATAAAACCCAAATTTATGGTTTAGAATTTAGGGTTTTACTCTTTGATTTTTATAGAAATTAAGGTTTGAGGAGGCTTGAGGAGGTACTCTGAAAAAAAAAAAAGAAGTCAAACTCGCACCTTGAATTTCAAACTACAAAGCCCCGTTGGTTCCAAATGCAGGGTTACCGATTTCTCTTCCAGGCACGCTAACAGTTGCTGTTAGTGCAGTGGTTGTGGTTCCAAATCCAAATGATGGGGGAGCTAGAGCAGCTGCAATTGCTGCTGCCATGAACTTCCAACCCTCCTTTTCAACTTGTCTTTTTCTTACTTGACAATTAGATTTAGGGTTTATTAAAGCTCATGTAATTGCCGTCTCATTCTCAATACCCTCTATAAGTATATTCATATCAATTAAAATCCTCATTTGCAGTATATTTTCCTTTTTATTTTGTGAATTAGGTAGATTTTTAATTTGATTTTTGTTTAGCCATTACCCTGAATTTGTTTCTTGTGCTGAGATTTTGGTTGGGTGGTGTTGATTTCTAGTTGATTTTTAGTTGATTTCTAGTTTCTAATGTTAAGTTTTGCTTGCTATGATTTCTTGTATTTTACTTCTTCATTACAAAGTAAAATTCTAGAATCCTTCTTACCTTTCCTCATGATTTTTTTGCCCTGTGTTCTTCAAGGATGGTGAAGGCTGTGTAGGTTTTTCTTTTTTGGTGTTTTCTTTTTCAAAATTTTAATTCGTAAATAAGCATAATGAGTTTAAGTCCAAGTCATTGCCACGTCATATTTTTAAGTCTAAATCGGTGCCAAGTCATGTTTTTTCAACGGAGTAACAAAAAGACAGAGGGAAAGATGTTTCTTGACGTCATCCTTGACAAAAATGTTGATATGCGGATTTTTTATTAGTAGAGGGGTTGATTTGCATTACTTTTAAGTAGAGGAACTCACCTGCGACAACAAGTTGAATAGAGGGGCTAAATTTGCATCTTCTGCCTACCTAAAATACTACGGACGGTTGTCCGTCGCTTGTCTTTGGGATGGGAATTTTTTTTTTTTTTTTGACAAGGGTAATAATTAGGAAGTTAGTAGAGTTAGTTGTTAGCAACTGAGATTTTCCAGAATGGTGAACATTCTACTCTCTCAGATGAGCCGAGCGGTCATTAAATCATAAATTGATGAAGTTCACAACGGTGACTGAGATCGAAGCCTGACATCCGTCTCACTCAAACCTTAAGGTTTAAGGCTCAACCATTGGGCCTCACGTCCAGTTGACCTTTGGGATGGGATTGGAATGGTTGTAAAGAGGTGTGATTGTAATTATGGTTATGATTGTATTGGATTATGTTGTAATTGTAATTATGATTAAAAGTTATTTTGATATTTTGTTATTATTTTTTTAAAGTATTATGAATAAAATATAATAGATTTTATTAATTATTAATTAAAATTTTAAAAAATATTATAAGATATATAATTATTAAAATAGATTATATTTATTATTTAAGTTTTTTAAATTTATTATTATTATTAAAATATTATAAATTATGATATAATTAAATTATATGAAATTAGATTTTAATTGTTAATTTTATAATTATATTAAATATTAGATGTTTTGTATAAAATACATAGTCAGAAAACTTCAAAATGAAATTTATAATTTTATATATATAATTACTATAAATCTATTATAATTATTTTATAGTTTTTTTAAAAAATAACCTGAAAAAAATTATCAAATGTATATATCTCTAAAAATATTATATAACCATATAAAAAAACTATCAACCACAATTTCAAACTTACCCTTAGTTATTGCTTCTGTACCCTATCTTCGTGCTGCTTTATGCAATTTGTACCCTACAAAGGTCATAAAATTTGTTCTTTGCCTTCAAGGAAAAAAACAAAAAAGAAAAAAGAAAAAATAAAAGAAGAATTTTCAACTTAATTGCAGGTCAGACCACTTTAATTCCTTGGTTGTCTTGTACGTTAAAAACCCATTCTTTTGTTTTGTACGATGGCTGGTTTTGAGTCCTGAAACCAAATTTGGTAGGGCACTCTAATCCTTCACCGAATTCTTAGATATCTAATTTTTTTTTAACGGGTTTACAGAAGGGATTCGAACTTTAGCCATTGAGTTGGAGTGCACATTACAATCTGATTTATAACTATTGAGTTATAAAACCCAAAGGCAATTCTTAGATATCTATTTATTTTTACAATCTGATTTATAACTGTTGAGTTGTGAAAAGTCGATTCACAAGTTAAGTCTCAAACATAACTTTTCTTAAACAGATACTAACTTAATACTATAGTTTCTCCTGTTAAAAAAACAAAAGAAAAATAGATTGATAAACTTCATTTGTCATATGCCTCGGCTAGAGTGTTTGTGGTGGGGATTAAATCAAATTTTAATATTTTTAAAATTAAATTAATTTAATCAATTAGTAAAATTTCTAAATTAATTTAATTTACTATTATTTTATAACTAAACCAATTCAATTTAGGTCAAATCGATGTACTTTGATCAAATTAATAAGTTTTTAATATTATTTTAAATATATTTAATTAGATAAAAAAATCAGAATATCAAATTATAAAAATTACAATTGCGAAGTACAATAACATTATAGATAGTAAAATGATAGTACCTTCTACTAGATTAAAATAAGAATTAAAAAGATGACAAAAAAAGAAAAGAATAAAAACTAGTAAGGCAACCAAGACATAGATACCCATAATATTATCGCTAAAGAAAGTAGAGAATTCTAAAAGTAGAGTTTTTATTTGTATAGGACAAAATATGAAAATTTAAAATAAAATTTGTATGCAAAAATAAAAATTCTAAAAATATATTATATTTTTATTTTATCAAAAAATTCTAAAAATACATTTACTAAAAAATACAGAAGTAAATATTATATTATTTAATTAAATTATTTTATAAATAGGTAATTCAGTTGATTTGAAAATAAAATTATAAATTAAACCATTTATATTAGTTTTAAGATTTTATAATCCAAATCAACCCAAATTGATATCAGTTTAGATTTAATTTTAATTAAATTGGATCATTTTTAATCAAATCAATTAGTCATGATTGGATATGGATAGCCCTAGCCATAGCATTGTTAATAGTTAGTGATGATAATGTTGGATAATTTAAAGCATAGATAGAAAAATGAGTAATTGAAATAAATTTTAACTTATAAATTCAATTGTTAATCTAGGAAAGACTTAATCCTTAAAAAACCTTAATTAAATTGTTGAACCGTGTTACAAGAGTATATTAATACATTACATATGGATAAGTGTAATAAAAGAGATTAGAATGTATCACTATGTTATGGTGTTAAAGGTTAGAGACAAAAGCATAACTTATAGTACTAGTAGTAGATTCAAACTAGGATAATGATTTGTACACTCTCCAATTCAACACATCTAACGACGCTCATTGAAAATTTGCTTTTGAAAATTTTCCGGTCTTAAATTCAAACTTGAAAATATTAGTTTCTTAATGATTGAATCGGTGTGTCACGCCCCAAAACTCAATTTCGAGACGCGACAGACGCCGTGCACTCGTGAGACGAGTCCCACAAATGCACAAAGCTCGAAACTTATCATATCACACTCTGATACCACTAAATCTGAAGATCAAATTATAAAATCTCTCTGATATCATAAAATCTCCAAATACACTCTAGCTTACAAGATCATGATTTATTTCTAAAATCTATATCAATCGCGAAATGGCTAGCTTTCTAACTCGTCACTTCCCGTGGTTTCCCTGTCCTCGGTTTCACTTCCTGAAATGGTGGACAAGGAAAAACTACGAGATAAACTCAGTAAGTAAATATGGAGTGCCCCTTATCAAACTTAAAGCATGCCAACAAGTACAATAACGAAAAACGGATACAGTGCGGGAACGAAATAGACGTCTCCTCTATAGGTCATGGCCAGTGTTTAAACCTCCCACTAGCAGGCAACAGGAATTGCTAGTGTTTAACTCCCACTAGCAGGATTACAGGAATTAACCGGTTCTATCAGGAACATGTCGACATGTGCTAGCGTTTGACCTCCCACTAGCGGGCAACAGAATAACATGACCGTATCGAAGACAAAACAGGCAGAAGTTAACAGAAAATTCATAATTCACTAATCACTTTCAAATCATCAGGACAATCAATTAAATTCCAAGTAGGCATGCTCAATTTCATGAAAAGCATAAAAATTCAGAACTTCAAATTAGTCATACTTGTGTAAAAACGGGTTTAGTCCCACCACCACTTCAAAAACAAATTAAAACATGCTTTTAAAAACAGTACGGGCATTACCATAAATTTACTTACCTCACTTGCATAAAACCGAGCACTCAATTCACATACTAACTGACAGAACAATCGGGAACCTAATTAAAACACCTCATAATTAATATCGGACTATCACACATTCAAACTGAAATCATCATTAGGATCACTCCTAATCACAATGCTATTTCCGTAAATCTCCACATGATCAAATATCTCCAAATTCGTTCTTATATCACAAACTAATCATTTAAATCCCCGTTAATAGTTAGCCCTCGGGGTGTGAACAGTAACGGTGAACAGTAACGGTGAACAGTAACGGTGAACAGTAACGGTGAACAGTAACCCCGACGTTAACAGTAATTCCAACTTTCACAAATTGGTCAAAACACTAGCTAATCTCACGGGGTTTTCTCTCCAAAAATCACACAGCAATCAATTAACACTCAATCACATAAATTCACTTGAATCAATGCTTAAATCTCATCCTAAAGTTACCGGAATTATCCCCCGTTTTTAGCCAAATTCGAACATCACAAAGCAGCAACCTTAAATGGATAATTTAAGCCTTAAATGGCTGTCACATACCATAATTCTCCAGCTAAAACCGGAGCTGCAGGGGGAAGAGGCCGGCGGCAATTGCAGGGAAGAATCACGCAATCTACCCAAAAATTGGAGAACCAAGAGGAAATTAAGGTAAACCCAAGCTAATTTAAGGCTAACAGGATGAATTAATGGCTGTTCTTACCGAAAACATGCCCAGAAATCACCCACCCACAAGCTGCAGCTCACGGACAGGGGAGGGGAGAACCGACCAGATCTGGGTTTCTGCAGAGAGGGAGAG